CCGTTAATGAAGATTAAAAACAGCGTAGGGCCAAGGATAGAGTCCTGGGAGACACCCGAGTTAGTACGAAAGGATGTAGACGAGTGGTCGTTCAGGATAACTTTCATTTCACGATTTGATAAAAACAACTGAATCAGCTCAAAAATGTACCTGGGGATACCTTAACTTCTTAGTTTGCTGAGAAGACCTGAATGCCAGACCCTGTCAAAGGCTTTCGAGATGTCCAAAGCTACAACCCGGAATTTACTGTTTTTATCTAGAGCGCTATAGACGTTTTCCGCAGTTATCGTTACAACATCAGCAGTTGACCCGGAGAAACGAAAACCGTATTCCTTGTCTGAGAAAAGGCTCTGCGATGAGTGAGGACGGACCAATTCAGTATTGATCAGTGCCTCTAGGAGTTTCCCCCCAAAGTGGTAGAAGGCTAAGAGGCAGAGATTTGAATGGGTCAGATTGTTCGCCAGAGATCTTAAAAACTGGAATAACAAACAATGACTTCCAGCAGGCGGGAAAGCAGGAGGCAGCAAAGCATCTATTATACTGTTCAGAGAGAACAGGAGCCAGTTCGGGAGCACATTCCTTAATGACTATTACAGGGATACCGTCAGGTCTACATGCTTTGTGGGGATCAAGGTTAGAGATGATAGCAGAGATCATGGAAGGGTTTATATGCATATCAATCAGCAGAGAGTTTGAAGTGGGAAGTTAGACAGGGATATTCCATTTGTACATCATAAACTGAATTGATGGTAATTTTATTATAAAAATGTATCTTTATATTTTTTAGCGTTGCATTGATTATCATTTTAATGCACTGTTGCATATTTTGTTATAAAAATGTACTGTTGATTTTTGCTTGAGGGTTCAATATTTGGCCATAACTGGGACCCTAACAGGTGCTACCACCCCGGGTCAGAGTGGACTTGGGAACAACAGCAACTAAGAGGTGGTTCCATACGTCTCAAAACCTCCCGATTAGAGACCTTGCTGCCGGAGGAAGTTTATCGTCATACTAAGAACGTATACAACAAAACCAGATGTGACAGCAATATTTAGAGCAAGGACGTATGGTAGACTTATAAATGTAGAAGATAGATTCTAGCGAGAAAAAATGTTTAGCATGAAAAAGTGAACGAACTTTCCTAGCAGCAGAGTTAGCATTTGATTCTATATACTCTTCAGTTGGTATCATGAATCACCCATCTTTAGAATATCTAGCTGTTTCCTTATAAGGAAACATTCAGCACTCTTTGACCAAACAAAATAAAATATTTCTCTTAAAACATTATTATCGCTCTTTCTAGAAGTGATGGAGTTTCCCTCCTAACCTTTTATTTAAGATAAGTGTGGGAATCAACATTTTGACCTTGTATCTATTTACTAGTTACATAAGGCTTAAATGGTCGCGTGGCCGGGTGTTTGCAATGTTCGCTTTCTGACCCTGGTTCGAATTTCACCATGGTCGATTTGTCAGGAAGGATCGATCCCAGCATAGAAAATGCCTTTTAAGCCTTGTGAGTGAAATTGGGTAAACGGAATTCTTGAGGGCCACCTATAGCTATGCTAGCACAAAGCCACAAGTCATCGTGGCCGAGGGTTTGGGCATGCTGGCCTTGTTCAAATTGTTGGTCAGGCTAGATAACACGCTCTCTCCCAGAAACGGTGACTGTCTGCTCAGCATAGTTGCAGTATAGCCACAGATGGGCTCTGTGGGTGTTGAGCAAACACAAATGTACCTGAGCGAGCGTTTGCAGTAGGGATTCGCTAGCCGCCATAGTAGACAGGTATCCTCGAATACAAGTGGCCAGCTATTCAGTCAGTTACGTGCCATACATGATACACGCTTTGGCGATCATGTATCTTTCGATACGTGACTGACGAGGCAGATTTTTTCCCGCAGTAGGTTACCATTTCTTTCTGTAGTAGACCAGTTGCCATCCAAAGTCTGTCCTGAGGGGGGTGGGGTGGAGAAGAAGCGGATTCATACCTTTCCCAAGTGTATTAGCACGTAAGTGAATGTAATGGATTCGACTGGAATTCGAACTCTGCTCTCCGATTCTTCAAGCCATTACTCCACTCCCTGCCTATTATTATTATTATTCGTAACATATGCCATACATTTTAGCTGTTGGAAATCTTCAAGTGTTCTTGATTTTGTTATTTGATAAACTTATCTATGATTCTGTGTTTTCAATCTTTAAGGATTGCTTTCTTTAAGACCCGGAGGATTGAAGCCATTGCTAATCGTTAATCCGGGAATTGTTCATTGTTGCTTTTCCTGCTTTTCTTTACTTTCTTTCTTTCTTTCTTTCTTAGGATGTTTATAGGTCTAAAATGAAAAACTAAATATAAATCTAATATTATATATATTTAGTCAAAATATGATAAATAACATTCGTGTTGTTTAATAATATCTCAAACGAGTAAATGTTATTGTGAATATTTCTAATGAAAACAAAAAATGAGATTTGATATACGCGCATATCCCAGGAATTTTATA